CCTTGCTTGAATCGTCGTCGCCGCCGCTGTGTTCACTGCTTGTAATGGTGCCAGATTCTTGCCCCTGGTCCAACTGGTTGAGATTGTTAAGCCACCCTGACACTTGCACGACATTTGGCCACGATTTTGTCGTGGCAAGTCGTGCCATTTTGGAGCACGAACTGGGAGGCTTCTGCACTGTTTAGTTCCTGACAGTCGTGGCATGGCGCGCACTGGCACGCAACCTCCCGACGAGTTCACGAACAGTTTTCTCATAGTTCAAAACCCGGTCGCGAAATTTTGTGTGACCAAAATTTTGAACATTTCAAAATTTTCGTCCCGACATGGCACCCAGTCACGACGGGTTTACTGATTATTGTTGTTGATAATAACTTACTTAATGTCTTCTTGCCACATAAACTGCAGAAATTGGCACACTTCCCGAGAGCCCGTGTGCCACAGTTACGCTGTCAGTAGTTCGCGCATGCGCAAAATCAGTCACAAAACTGACACACATATTAGAATAATACAGTTGAGAAATGTAAATAACCGATAAATGATGGCAGACGTTTCGAAAAGAATGAATACATATCGATAATGTAGCTAACACACTTTGCTGTGACTGACTATTAGAAGACAGTAAAAAAATTTTTTATTTATACAATCACTGTTTTCCAGGGGTATCGTTCTGTATCTGAGAAGAAACTCAATTTATTAGTATGAGACAGTAGGGGATTTTGAGTATATAGGAGCAGAAAAAAAAACATAAAAAGGTAGCGTATTAAAGTAAGACTAAGGTGTCAACAAAAACAGTAGTGTAATGACAAGTGAAGACACATGATTCTGATTTGAATATCCTTTTGTAGTGAAGCGCTAGAGAGGAAACAAGTCAATTCTACTTAGGATAGCCCTCCAGGCATCAACTCGAGTTTTTCTATTGTTTTATTGTGCATAGACACAGTCAAAAGTTTTCCCTACTCCTAATTATGCACTTAAATCTGTATTATGCTTGCCTCTTCGCGTTTTAGAGCGGTGGTTAGACTAGCTTGCAGTCTGAAACATTCTTGAATAATAAATATAAATTGCGTAAACTAGGGGTGAACGCGAAAGTCATGTGACCGCAAAATCCCAAAAGACTCTCCATCAGTGTAAGCGCCCTCACATTACCGGCCAGATTCGGGCTTGTAAATTTGCATATACGTCATACGGTGGGTGGAGCAGCCGAGCCACGGATCATAACTATAAACCGGACATCGCGCGTGCCTGTGTTTACTTGTCTCGCGCTATGTTACCATGTTGTTGACGCCAACAAAATTGAGTAAAACAACCGTCGTTTCTCAGAGAACGCAAGAAATTATCTGTATTATGCGAGGGGATTTTATTTACTTAAGTTTTGATGCTATATTAGCTCAACCAACATGTCTGGGCTTAGATAAGCAACCCGTACACACAATATAATCTACCAAATCATGCCAGGACATCGGATGTCCTCACCACCACCTAAAATAATGGGTATAAGTAGCGATACCGTAACTATGAGCAAAAACAGTTCACATAAATATTTTATCTGAGTTCTCGGAATATTTTCATTTCAATTTTATGTCACATTTTAAATTTTACAAAAAAAAAAAAAATGCTGATGAGTGGCAGCTGTAAGACAAAAATCTGTGCCTAAAACTAAATCACATACATGAATAACTAATATAACTTTATACTAAAAGAAAACAAATATTTTGGTACTGATCTCATTTGTCTATTATTTGTATGCTATGTCATAAAGACGAGACGTATCGTCGACCAGGGAAGAGGCTACTATATGTAATGTGTTGATACACAAGGCGCAGACAGAAAGCCCTAAATCGTATGTTGGCGACACTGTCATGTCCATATCAACAATATGTTTACAGACTCCGTATCTTAAAATACAGTATTTACACGCCATGATTTTGTTGGACTGTGGACACTTTATCTGATATCGAGGTGTTTTTCGACGTGACATACATTTATATATTTTGTTATCACCGGTTGTAGTTTATCCTAGCGTATTGACTTATATGTGACCTCACATTACTCAGTGGCATTGCGATCACAATTTACTAACTTTTGTTAAAAAAATAGGTTACTAGTACGTCCATGCTGTGACTGAATTGAGAATTGTGACAAGTGATTTGGGGATGACCTTGACATTTAAAGCTACATTATACTTGCCTCTATACGTTTTAAAGGGCAATGGTCGTCTTGCCTTGATAAATACTGATTTCCCCACAATCCAACGCGCTCTTCTAATGGAAATCACGAGTACGAGTTTTGACTTGAGTGCGACGTGCACTAATTAATGCCGATGACTCCTTCCAACCAACCAATCAGAAAATAAATTATCTTAGAGCTGTGTAACCTCTCAATTTGTACTCGTTGGTCTGAGCAACAGTCAAAGTCGCCATCTTTGTTCATAGGAGACGCATATAACGTGCATGCGTGACGCGACGACCATGCACTGCCCTTTAACTGCAAACTCAACTTTACTATAACTTCGACTAAGTACAGCAGCATGTTTGAGCTCCCTTTCATTTGAGAATCAATGTTTGACATTCTAGACTGGTACTACGCGCGTTTTCTGTAAATGTATCGATGATTCCCTGTACATGTATTGCGAAATAAGGCATTACATTTATGATTATTATTGACACAGTGTCTTCATAGTCCAAGTACTCGAGGCAATTTTACAAGTCTGAGCCAAAAGCTTTGATGCTATATTAGTTCAATCAATATGTCTGGGGCTCAGATAAGCAAACCGTACACGCAATGTAATCTACCAAATCAAGCCAGGACATCTGATGTCCTCACCATGATCTAAAATAATGGGTATAAGTAGCGATACCGTAACTATGAGGTAAAGCATTTCATAAATATTTAATTCGAGTTTTCGGAATATTTTCATTTCAATTTTATGTCACATTTTAAATTTTACAAAAAAAAAAATGCTGATGAGTGGCAGCTGTAAGACAAAAATCTGTGCCTAAAACTAAATCACATAAATGAATAACTAATATAACTTTATACTAAAAGAAAACAAATATTTTGGTACTGATCTCATTTGTCTATTATTTGTATGCTATGTCATAAAGACGAGACGTATCGTCGACCAGGGAAGAGGCTACTATATGTAATGCGTTGATACACAAGGCGCAGACAGAAGGCCCTAAATCGTATGTTGGCGACACTGTCATGTCCATATCAACAATATGTTTACAGACTCCGTATCTTAAAATACAGTATTTACACGCCATGATTTTGTTGGACTGTGGACACTTTATCTGATATCGAGGTGTTTTTCGATGTGATATTCTTTGTTTGTTATCACCGGTTGTAGTTGATCCTAGCGTGTGGACTTATATGTGACCTCACATTACTCAGTGGCATTGCGATCACAATGTACTAACTTTTATTAAAATAATAGGTTACTTCATACAACTGAAGAATTACTACTGGCGATCATGTCGCCTAAATTTATCCAAAAAACTGCTTACTTTTCAACCCATATTAACATGTGTTGCTGCAATCATATTCCCCATTTTAATCACAAACTACAACGATAACGACACAATGCAAACGACCTTGCTGTCGGTATAGCTCCACTGTAATTGACAAGTGCAATGGGCAGTGGCAGTTATGACAGTTTAGTAATTGAGGCAAAGGTCACTGGAAGGGAATATCCCGTAAGAGGAAACGTATTTGTGTATGTAGTGCATGGATATGTATAATTGATAATGTGGGTGTACATGAAATTGAAGCTGAAACATGAAGTTATTGTCCCTATTACCAGAACATTTATTTTGCATTATTTGGTTACTGTACATGTGACTGAATTGAGAATGGAAAAGTTACATGTGATTTTCGGATGACCTTGACCTTTTCTTAATATATCTTGACAGAACGAAGACCTCTGGACTCCCACTACACATACAATCAACACGTGACCTTGAAATGACCCTGACCCGACCTTGAAGATTTTGAGGTGTTTTAGTCCCTCCCACCCTCACTGTTCAGCATCACCCATATAAAAAAGCAGCAAACGTATAAACCTTGAAATGACCTTGACCTGAACTTTAGCATTTTTGGAAAACATTGGCTTAGCCAGTTCATTTTCCAAGACAATGTGTACAGGGAAAGCCTAGCCTCGACCTGATACAGTTGTCTACTGGAGTCCATGCATTATACATATATAATAAATGGGAAAGTGAAAAAATCCTAAAAAATAATTGAGATATCTGCACCAAATGAACAAACTTGAGAGATGACCAGTCCATATGTCTACATTATGAATTCCAAAGCAATGTGGCAGGCGGTTCCAAAGAAGGAAAAAAAATGAGCAAAACAAAATTTCAAAAATGTACTAAAAATATACACTTGCACATGGTGCTATGAAAATGATAAGCCTGTAATCCATGTCAACAACATTCATACCAAATTTCCAAGCAATCTGACAAGTGGTTGTGGACAAAATCATTGTTAACCAAAAATGACAAATATATTTTTTTTAAATAGAAGAGGATTATACGTGATGTCATGAAATTAACAAATCTGACAGAGGACCATCCCAGGTAGGTGTGGTATGAATAGCAAGGCAATCCAGCTGACGGTTTGGGAGAAGTCGTTTGATTGAGAAAAAGTTGACGGACGACGACAGGTGTGGGCAACCCATGACTTCCGCTCGGTCATAGGGAGCCAAAAAATCAATACGAGGTGCGTCATATGAATACCAAAAAGTCATTTGGTAAAGAAAACAAAACAGGAGTATGGTTAAAACTAATTTATTGAACATAAAACTACAAAGATAGAACAAAAAATCACGCACAGAATTGGGAAGGCAGTGTTAAACACAACAAATAGCACACATATGCACCATTGGGGCAAGGGTAAGCAGTCTGCGATAAAATCTTAACCAATCAAGTGATTGGCACTGACTTGATGTAAATGATGCAACGGTGGCGCACTGCTATTTGTTCCTAACCCTTCCCGTGCCAGGTCGTGTCCGGTCAGTGTACGTACGTTACTCTTATAAATATAATCATCGTCAAACAGAAAACATTACACACTTGCTGTATAGAAGTATGAGGACACACGTGGTAAAGATATTACTGTGCTGGATATGTGTGGTACTGACCTACCATACTGTCCACGGTGGCAGCATTTCGACGTGCTGGCCTGTGTCTAACTGCGACCACGGCACGATGGATGGAGCCACATGTGTTTGCGATGCAGGTTGGAGCGGTCTTTGCTGTGACGGTATGTGTCCTTTTTGAAACTTGTTTCAGGTACAATCCGATAGTGGGTTTTCTGTCAATTTATTACATCATCTTAAACAATCGAACATGATCATATCCGCGGGCTGGGTAGTTCAATGTTTGCGCTCTTTGGGTATAGAAAGGTTTTCAATAAATATATTCAGTGTCAATCTACAACAACGTGAGTAAATAATGTTACTTTAATTACCACCAATGGTAGTTTTGTGTGCATCTCCACCTATATTTGTTGTCCATTTATCCGGGTTTTCACAAATATACTGTAAACAATAACGGTTAAATCGCATACCAGACATTCAAATAATTTTTGTTATTGCATATTACACACGCTCGAAGTGAACAATATGAATATTTTTTGATGTTAATACAAATTCCACTGTGCAATGGAACATAAAGATTGATTAAGGTTGTAAGCCTGAGATCAGTCAACTTCAAGTTGTCAATTTCGAAAGCTATAAGCAAAATGTATTCACGTTTACGAGGTGTTCTACATATTCCATCAGGTTTCTTGCTATTTATTTTTTATTTTGTGATTTCGTCAATAACAATAGCTCACCATGGCATCTCTACGTTTATGTGACAAATAGATGATAGTTTGACTACGCAATTTTAAAATTACGCTTTCAATTTCAGGATTTATTTTAACGTTCGAAGAGTTCGAGTTTTCATATAACCAAGGTTTCCGGCAAATCCATTAAACCTACCTCATTGTACTGTATCGTACAACATATCACACGTATCTAGACTAAGTTTATTCATTTACAAGACTCGCCCGGGCCGCAAATGTAACAGAAATATATGTCAAAGGTTTTACAAGTCAACTCGCCTAATAACTGTTCTCAACACGGCGCGCTTATACTTCTCCTCCGTTTGGGCAGCATGGCGAATACATTACTAAAGAGAGGTAGCGACACGAAATTTTGCATATGGGGGGGGGGGGGCGCCACTGCCAAACATACGTTAATCGCATGTATTATTGGTATTAGTGTATTCGTCTGAAAAACACGTAGTGACACGATTCAAATGATTGCACCTTCATATGAGCACCCAACTGCATTTACAGTTACACCCAGTGACCTACGTATATAAACTGTGCATTACCCTTGACAATCAGGAACGTGTTTGTTTGACCACACTGTACAAACTAATATAACATTTCCGTGATTTATTTTTCAGAGCAGCCGATCGAATGCCAAAACAGTAAGTTTGCATTGTATTTCTTCAAATTACATTATTTCAAATTTCAAAACTTATAAACCGTGGCATGTGACACCTTATCTACGATATCATTAAATGTCTCATGCTCACCAAGGCCAATGTAAATATTCTGGCTCGATCAACACAGTACAGGTATGTCCAATATTACAAACTAAACAAACACTAACAACCCCATTGCGATGTCGGTGGGTTTACTTTTAAGTCTTGGAAAATACTTGAGACATTGTTATTGTTCGAAAATATACACTAAAATGTAACAGTACTGCGATAAAAATCCTTGTTAAGCCTTTATGCTCTTTCCGTCTTTTGTTGATTATCTCTTTGGTCATGTTAGATAAGGTGCGATGATGACGTAAATTTGAAAAAAACAAAAAAACAAACAAATGAGGAACAAAAAACAAAAACAAAAAACAGAGCGCATTGGATTGTGGGAGTTTCAATGTTTATCATAACACATTTCGCATCAATGCATCAAAACGAAATATAAAATTGTTGCCTCGATATACGGTAGTTTTTTCAGTACGACTTTATTTCATTTTTTTCTAATAACTTGTTTCTCCAGTGTTTGTGCGGTTGAGTTGTAAAAAACAGCGGATGGTCGTTGTGTAAATATTACTAAAATATTCGGTCATCGAATCGAACTGTATTGCGTTTTGCTCTGCTTTTTGAGGGTACCACTCCGGTTCTTTTCAACCGGGCCGTCTGACTGAGACTGGTTCGTTTCACTGGGGATCGCGAAAACAGTGCGTCAGACAATATCATTTTTATCGTTGAAGGCTTGAGTTATAGTAAATTTAAACTGCCAAATTTGAACTTGACACGCAATCCACCAATCGAGATCGCTATGTTTATATATTAAAGGGGAGCAGAGGTGTGGCTTTTGACACTCTGTACATGAAATTTGAGATCTATGTATGAATTCTGTCAATAAAAATAACTTGTATGTGCTGCGAAATGCCTTAAATATTGGGTATAAAACGGGCTGTGAAGCAGACGACAAACTTCCGCTTTGCCTGGCGTTATTTCGCCTCTAGAGGGCCTGTCAAATGATGTCATCAGTGAACACTGATAATTGAACCCATTCATTCTAGTACGTCAATCCCACGGAAATGCTACTATGAAAGACCTTGTTGACCGACAACTTAAAAGTTGTAACATGGCGAGGTGTTGTGTTATGAATGCCATAACGATTCATGTTAAGTTTCTCGAAATCCCAAATAAAAAATCACGTTGTTGGTTGCGGGAAATCGGCAGAAGAACTAATCTGAAAGTGAAGACACGTACAGCGTTCTGGCTATAGTAAACAGTGAGTGAATTAATATTGTACTAGTTAGAAATATGCTACTACAGTACTCATTTTGCCCAACTTCCTACTTATTAATCGATCGCTTAATTTCCGACCGCACTGTATTTTACCAACCGGAAAACGACCGCATTCAAGTCACCTCGACCCCTATCCTGTTCGACCCTAGACACCTCGATCCCAAGTTAGACACCTCAACCCTTTACCCACTAGTCACTTCGACCCCCGGAGTTATACACTGTGCGTCATTTCGACCCGAGAATTATACAACACTGTACGACAATATCACACTTTCCCTGAGTGTGTCGGCCACCGATTTCATTTCACTGACTAGTTAATGTTTGTTGCTTGTCGATTTCTGTTCATTCTATCGCACGCAACTGCAAAATGACACCATCTTGGACTGAACCATTGTACTTGATCGGTGACACCCTATTATCCCGCAAAGGAGGTGTTGCCGACGCACATATTTTTACTAATTAATACTTCAATGAGGTGATGCCGAAACCAGTTAGTACTAATAATGACACTTAATAAAAGGTGTGATAAAAGTAATTATTAAAACGAAAGTCTTAACAAGTTATTTTATTTTGTAGGCATTCAAGCTTATTACCAAACGCTTCAGAGTTTGTTTTCAGGCTTGGGTGGTACCAAGGTGGAAATGGTTGCACATATGGGGGGT